TGTCGCTTTTGAATCAAGGATACGATATATCAATTATATTGATAATTTTAAACTTATCCTGAAATATGTGTATCGTCAGCGTTATTAGTAAAGGGCTTAATTTGAAGACGTGGGATAAATTGCGGATAATTCATTGTAATTATCATGCAAGTTCTGTTTTATTTATATTGTACATTATATATAACATATATTATAACGCACGGATATTAAAACGTAGTTTTAAAGTACATTATGCATAGTAATAGTTTCTCAAAGGTATAGTTAGTAATTTTTTATCTGTCTTAATCTAAGAATCATTATTTCTGTCTCTATTAAAAATAAAGATCAAAAAAAGACATACATTTGTTATCAAGAATTACGAAACTGCGAAGATATTTACATTAAAATTACATTCTTAAAGAGGTCTCAAAGATCTTATACCTAAAACAAAAGCTTTGAAATTAGAGGATCTTCTTTTATTTTACAATATTGCAATGTTGGTTATTATGACGGTCAACTCAATGTAACTTCTTTCCAATAAATTTGTTATTGTCGACCCATTCGTACTTCTTGCAACTGTTCATGCAATCCGTTTCTTCAAGACTGAAATGTGTATATTCCAATTAAGCTGAGTCGGAATTTTTATATTTTAAGATATATTTAACATGTTAAAAATAATTCAACTAAATTCTATACGCTATATATCCTACAAGATTCTTTAAGAAACAAGTTAAATAAACTTAGAACTTTTATCTCTTTAAGCTTGCGATACTTATAAGTAAGAATTAATCAGACAGCTTGATATTATATCAATATAATAAATGTTAATAAATTGTCGTTCATCGCAATATCTCCATCACCGCACCACTTTGTCCCTAATGCATATCATTGGCGGAAAGAAAACAGACATTAGAAAGCCCATTTATTAATATCAAATTGTCAATCCTTCTTTTGTCACAAATACGTACGCACTTAATTACATAAGTATCTTTTATTCTCATTAATTTCTTAAGTAGATAGAAGGCTATGAATTGATACAAATTAATAATAAAAGAATATATGCAATTGATTTAAAAAATTAATTTTATTTTCTGTAATTTATATTTTATCACAGTTCCTAATTGACACATATAAATTTTAAAATTGATGCGAGAGCAATTAAAAAATAATCTTTTAATATAATTATAGATCTTGAACTGCCCGTGTCTCGTAACTCGTAAATATTTGCAATTAGATAGTTTTTTGTTAAAACTAGTAGAATATGTATGTAAAATTCTCATAGAATTAGAAGCACCAAGACCCTGCTACCGTTTATTGGTCTTCTCTCAATTTATTGTGTTAAAATAGATATCTGTTATTATGTTTTCAATTCTTTTTAATGTTGTTTCTGTAAGAATTATTTTATTAATTATCATAAAAAAGGCACATTGCGAAAAGGCGAAATGCAGAAAATTATTTAATCAATTCCTTAACTGAAATATAGAATCAGTATTTCGCAAAAAAAGTCGTTTCAATCAATCTTTTTTTTTATCTTCATTTTTCACGTAAACTAATTGACTTTTCTTAAAAATATAAGAACATAGAATATTAAAATATTGATAAAAAAGATATTAATACCAAATCTACTAAAAGCAAATCCTGTAACAGCGAATTATTTGAATTATATACACAATATTCTGTACACATTGTGTACAGGAATATTCTGTAAACATCTAATAAAACTACCTTTCCACTTTTAAATGGAGAGGAATTTTTTTTACAAGATATTCATTTTTATTATTTATAGTACTCTTTCTGCAAGCTGAAGATGATCGAATTACCTGGAAAGATTGCCCTCATCTTGACTTCTAGATCTGTTAGGGATCCTCTTATACTTTAGATTCTTCTTGCGAATTTTCTCGCGAATCTTCTCCCGAACTTTTTTGCGAATCTTTTTTGTTCTTTCCGAAAAGATTGCCCAGCTCGAAGGGCAACGTAATATTTTTCAGCCTATCGAATAGCGACTCTATTTCTTTTATTCCTGCTTTGACAGGCGCAACTTTGTCGGAACCAGGTTTGATATTTTCATCTTCGTATTCTGGTTTAACGTTTTCACAATCGCCAAATTGCACGGCGATGCTGAGGAAGAAGAGCACGAAGAGGCAAACGAATACACGTGACATCGCGTTGTCTAATCACCCAGAATAAATG